GACTGGAGCATCTCTCCTACAAGGAAAGGCCAAGAGACCTGGGGCTCTTTGGCCTGGAGAAGGGAAGGCTGAGAGGGGACCTTATCAATACCTAAAGGGTGAGCGTCAAGAGGATGGGGACAGGCTCTTGTCAGTGGTGCCCAGTGACAGGACAAGGGGCAATGGGCACAAACTGAAGCACTGGAAGTTCTGCTTGAACATGAGGAAAAACTTCTTTACTCTGAGGGTGGCAGAGCCCTGAACAGGCTGCCCAGGGGGGTTGTGGAGTCTCCTTCCCTGTAGACATTCAAAATCCATCTGGACACATTCCTGTGTGACCTGCTCTGGGTGATCCTGCTTTAGCAGGGGGTTGGACTAGATCATCTCCAGAGGTCCCTTCCAACCCCCACTGTTCTGCAGTTATGTGATTCCTCCCTAAAATGGCAGCAGGTGATACTAAACCTCTCTTAATTCCCCATCTGGATTAAAAGAAGTGTGAAGTTAAAAGAGCATTCTCTCTTTCTAGTTAGATCAGTATCCAGTTCAGCACACCGGAACTTAACAGTCCTACATCCTTATGCAGATGCTATTTTCCTTTCTCCCCCCTCTCTCAGCAGGCAGTGGAAATATCAAAGAGATCCCCAAAGTTTGTTTGTTCTTTTACAATTTTGTAGTGCTAAGGAATCCAAAGCTTTATTCCCTCTGTATTGACAACTCTTTAGAATGAAATGGGTTGGAAAGCTACACGCTACTTCTCTATAGCGGGAGGAGGAGCAGGTGTTCTGTGCTTACCTGCTTCATGGCCCTGGTCTGAGCAGCAGAACCTACACGGGACACGGACAAACCGACATTGATGGCTGGACGGATACCTTTGTAGAACAACTCAGTTTCCAAGAAGATCTGTAGGAGAAAATCGTTTTACTATCTTGGTCAGAAGACATCAAGTCTCCTCAGAGACCTGCCAGTAAGTTACACAGAAGTGCTGGCACGTGAAGAAGCTGTCCTACCTGTCCATCAGTGATGGAGATGACATTGGTTGGAATGTAAGCAGACACGTCACCAGCCTGAGTTTCAATGACAGGCAAGGCGGTCAGAGAGCCGCCCCCAAAGGAGTCATTCATTTTGGCTGCTCTCTCCAGCAGACGAGAGTGCAGGTAGAACACATCACCTGGGTAGGCTTCGCGACCGGGCGGACGACGCAGCAGCAGAGACATCTGACGATAGGCAACAGCCTGTGTGGTATAAAGAAAGCTCTCAGACTTTGGTAGGTCATTTAAGATTTTGAATTTCTAAACCCGAGGTGATCTTACAGCTATAAACACCAATGCTAGATTACAAGGCCTATAAACAGTTTCCTGACCTGTTTGGATAAATCGTCATAGATGATTAACGCGTGTTTTCCGTTGTCTCTGAAGTATTCCCCCATGGAGCAGCCTGAATAGGGAGCCAGATACTGAAGGGGTGCTGCATCGGATGCTGTGGCAGACACCACAATAGTGTACTTCATGGCATCTGGGAAGAATTAAGAGACATACACCACTGAGTCCATTACCTCATCATGCCCGTAATCAGCAAATACAACACGCATGTGAAGAAGCAGCTGCTCGGACAAGCCCCGGCAGCACCACTACGTTGTTGGGAGTAAAGAACACCATACTAGATTAACATGTCCATCAGCTCAACTAAGTCAAGCAGTTTCAAGAGCAAGTTCGTGTAGCTCACGCCTAACACTTGCAGACTTCTTTCCCATCTAAAATGAAGTTTAAACTTTCACTAAGACACACTTCAGTTCTCGAAGTAACTTGGTCTTCAAGTCTGTGACTTCCTGGCTTCTGCAAGGAGATACTACCCTTTGTTTCACAGTACCAAACAAATTCTTGTCTTTAAAACAGGTTTATTTTCCTGCTAGGTATAACTCTGCTTGACCAGTATGCAAGAGGGAAGGTGCCTGGTCTCTTGAAGGTCTGTTACATACGCAGCCTTGGTCAATGAGGTCACTGTTTTTTGAAAAGATGCTGTCATTTAATCCCTTACATTTGGGCAGCAGGCTCTCCACTAAACTGGCAACTGCCATTCATACTGACTTGCCATATGAAACAAATGCCAAGTCCATAAGTAGTTGTAAGGCCACCACTTGTCACCAGGCCTGCCTGACTGCCCAGAGGAAGCTCTCTGAACTCTGCTAAAAAAAAAAAAAATCACGGAAAGTGACTTTTCCAAATGCAATTCAGCAGTTTTGGGACCTCACACTAGTCTCCTAATGCAACGTAGTAAAGAGGGTTTTTTCCCCCCAGATACCTAGAAAGTATCCAGAAAAGCAAGTAGTTCTCACATCTAATAAGAAAAGAATTCTGTCCATTCTTACAGCTAGGAGAGTTCACAGTAGTATTCAGCATTATAAACAAAACAGGATGCCACTAGTTGCTGGGCTCAACCACCTTCAAAAACCCGTACCTGCATCAGTGAGCCTCTTCACCAGCTGAGCAACGGTCGATCTCTTCTGGCCAATTGCAACATAGATACAGTACAGCTTCTTTTTCTCATCTGTTCCATCATTAAATCGTTTCTGGTTGATTATCGTGTCAATTGCAATTGAAGTTTTCCTGTGTAACACAGAGATCAGTTAAGTGAAGCTGCCTACGGTTCTCCCAACCTCTACGCAGTTCTGCGCTCAGCTTCGTACACCAGCACACGCTGTGCTCGAGTTTTGGTTTAAGGAAACATTTTTAGCTTCAGCATTTAACTTACCCGGTCTGTCTGTCACCAATGATCAGCTCACGCTGGCCACGACCGATTGGCACCAAGCTGTCCACAGCCTTAATACCAGTCTGCATTGGTTCACGGACAGAGATTCTGGGAATGATCCCGGGGGCCTTTAAGCCAACTCTTCTACGTGTCTTAGATGTAATAGGACCCTTAAAAAGGGAGAAAAAAGCTGTTGCAGTTTGTATCACATAGATACAAGCAGAGGTAGCAAACCCGTAGCCACACATACCTTCCCATCAATTGGATTGCCCAGGGCATCTACAACGCGGCCCAGCAGCTCTTCCCCCACTGGAACATCCACAATGGCACCAGTCCTCTTCACGACATCCCCCTCCTTGATCAGTCTGTCATTACCAAACACGACAACACCAACATTGTCGGGCTCCAAATTCAAGGACATACCCTAGGACAAAGACCACATTATCCTGAAAACACCCATACCAACATTTACAAAAAATCTGACAGTTTATTATCGATGTGGTTATTCTACAGTGTAAAATACCCAACATACTCTGCCTCAATCTTATCTGTAACAATAGTCATGTCTTGCTTGTGTGTACAACGCATGTATGTTCTTTCGTATCAGTTAGACAGCCTGCCTAAACCTTCAGCTTACTACATCATTAAACTTGCAGCAGTCTAGCATTCAGTCATGTACCTCTCTAGAAAGAGCAGGAAAGACAAGCATGGTTCAAATACAACATTTCTCTCTTGCCTAGGAACTGGACTAAGTAAAAGCACTGGCTTCTTCTCCAAGGCAAGTCAGGTCACTAAAAATACTGGAAGAGCTGTTGCAGTACGCTCCTAACAGTCAGACAGCTTTTTAACTCTAGTCTTTAGTTTAACTCTAACTCTTAGGACTACAAGAAGTCAGCAAACTGCACACTGTCTTGGAGCAGAAAGGCTGTGGTTCAACAGTAAACAGAGAAGCCAGCCCGAAACCAAAGAAAACAAAATCCAATGCCAGATTAGTTCTTATACTTCCTGGATGAAGACAAATAAAGATTAAATGTTGGCCCAGAACTAGATACTGGTAACGAAAGCAAAGTGTTACAAATTCAAATAATATTTGCTTTTTGTAATATTATTTCAACCAGTTACTAGGTATTAAAGTTACAACGAAATCTGTAAAAGGTGCATACAGGAACCTCCAAGCATAATCTCATGTTCTCCTTAAAAAAACCCTTGTATTTGTATTTCTAGGCTCTACAAACACTGCTTTAGTGAAAGCTTACCTTCAGTCCGGAAGAGAATTCAACCATTTCTTCTGCTTGGACATTCCTCAGGCCGTACACACGGGCAATACCATCACCAATTGAGAGCACCCGGCCAGTCTCCTCAAGTTCAGCAGAGGTGTCAGCTCCCAAAATACGTTCCTCAAGAATAGAGGATACCTCAGCAGTACCTGGAAGGAAACGTTTCAAACCAGATTCAGCACATTAAGGCACAGTACGAATTCAGTAACCTTGTCTTGAACTCACAAGCCAAGGTACCCTTTCTCAGTTATGCCACAAGGTCTAACCACCAACACTCTCCCTTACATAGAATGCCAAGATAAATAACAGCTCCTGTATTCACAGCCAATAAAAGCAGCTTCAACTCATCATCTTCAATCAAAACACTGACGGCTGCTTAGTTATCAATTTCTTTCATTATGTCCTACACTATTAGCAACCTGCCTGCCCCCCCCAAAAGGCAATTAAATAATTACTCTTCTGCTCAGGAAGAACAGACATGCTAGCTCTGCTTGCAAAGCATCTGCTTAGACTGGAGGCCTCAGAACGCCCTGTCAACTGATTCGTAATCCAAGATCCAAGTATATTTAAAGGACCTTGATACATTTAAGGAGCAAGTTGTTCGATATAAGCTATAAAAATGTATCCTCCATCTTTCTCAAATGTTTGGCAGTGTACCTCCAGCAACTTTTTATTTCCTCAGCTTAAGAAACAGTAAATAACACTGTGAAACTGTTATTTCCTAATAATAACTTTAATCACCCTAAACCACTTCAGAAATTGTACACGAACCAAAAATACAGCTATGCAGTGCCGCTGCCTTCTCTGAATGCCAAGATGCTGGCAGCAAAAAAGTTATACTCAAGGACACAAGGTCAAACCCAGGCGGGCCTGGGAAAGTCACCCATTCCTTTGTACTGCTACAAACAAGACGGGAAACTGGGATTTGAAGCATTTTTTTCAAATAATTCTGCAGGAGTTGAAGACTGAACCGAATTCTCTTGAAGCAGGTAAACTGTGTAAATGGACTGACACGTGACCCCTCCTTTCGTTTGGGCATAATCTGAACAGTTATTAAAGCCTCCTGGGTGTGACTGTGTAACAGACACTTCACTGTTAAATACTGTCACTACATAAACGGCCTCAAGTGTTTTGTAAACTGACATGTGCGCCCCTCGCACTTCATATTCAAATTCCTTTTTGTCTCATAAAGCAAGTTCTTAAACTGCATTCTTATACGAAAACCTCTCTCAGACTCACTCACCAGTTTTCTGAAAGCATGGTTTGGAGGCATGGATGTTTCTTGTAGCAACAAATGCTGCACCCAGGGTGTTTCTGGAAATCTGAAAGAAGTAATTGTTTCGATAACTGAGATTTTTCTCAATCATTCAAAAAAATACTAGGTGGTAACACACTGAAATTTTTGATCGTCAACTTATACATTTAACGTGTCACAGTTTCGAGCTGAGCTCCGCAGCACTCCATTCAAAAGCTGCAGTTACAGAACCAAGTCCAGCACTACTAAGCAAGCGCAGAGAGTGAAGGAGACTGCTCTAAATTACTCGGTGCATTGTTCTGCATTGCACTGATGTCACCATCACAGCACCGCAGCAGCTCCCAAAGCAACACCTCCTCTCGTTTGCCACCTTTGCGTGGAACACCAAAAGCTTGCGGCGTAAAGAAATCAGTGCACCCCTCGCCATTCTGCAGAAGGGAGGAACAGGATTGCATCTTCTAAGGGTGGGCCTCAAGAAAAATCTGTGTAATTTCCAAGTATGGCTAGAACATGAACGATATTAGAAAGGAAAAAACAAGTATGTGATAATGAGTGTAGCAAAAGATTATAATCCTACACCCCAAACCAAACTCCCAGTGCAGTCCCGTGCAGTGCTGATGCTGTTTCTCCGAAAGCCTGGGGAGGCCTCTCCTCCGTTCACCTTCACAAGGGACACGGGTCCTGACAGATCTCCGCGCCCTCCCTCTCCCCACGGGGGAAAAAAATGCCGCCTGACAAAGCCTCGTAGATCAAATCCCTCACCCTGACTGCGATCCAGCAGCTTCCAGACATTAACCCGAACCGCAACAGGCCAATCCGCGCCCTCTGGGGAAGGACACGCCGACCCCTAGACGCCCCCCACCTCCCAGATGAGGGCACCCCCGCTCCTCAGCAGGCCGTCGGGCCCCGCTGCCACCCAGCGCTGAGGTGAACCCCCCAACACACACCCGGCCCCAGACTCCCGAGA